CTTCTTATGCTACTGCTGTTACTACTGCTGCTGCTACTACTACTGCTACCACTGCTGCCATTACTGTTACTACTACTGTTAAAAAAAAAATGTAAACGTGATCAACACAGAAGCTGTTATTTACATCTTGACGTAAAAATTGTTAGCCATCCATCATATGACATTATTTTCACAGTTATTGTCAAACATGATGTCCTGGTTATGACATTAAACTGACCCTCACTGCCTTGTGAGTGATGTTGGATCATCAAAGGCTAGGCCCACCGATTATAACTGTGGTTGCGTAAGGAAGGGCCTCCTGCGTAAAAATTAGCCAAATAAATTACTTATGATGACAGAAGTGACAATGGCCCTCAGTATCCGGCAGAAGAGGGTGCGCGAGGGGTATTTCGGTTTCATCATAGGTAGCCAAACGGCGGGGAAAATGTCGTCTAAACGTGTGTTGTTGTTGTATTGTCAAACATAGTCATCGGCGTCGCCGTCGTCGTATTAGCAAAGGCCAGGCAAAAGCAAATAATTAGATTAGGTATCCGGTCTGTTTCATGTTAGATGAGGTTTTGCTGCTGAGCGTCTAATGGTTACTTAAAATATAAAAATGTTACTATTATTATAAGTAGATGAAATGAAGAATGCTTATATTTAGGTCCTAGTATCATTTTTAAATGGCGTAGAGTTTTTTCTCTGGATACCTGGCGTCTGCAGAGCGTCTAATGGCTTTTTTAAATATAAAAATTACTGTTTAGATACAAAATTACATAGAAGAAATGATGAATGCTTATATATACGCCATTTTTAAATAGCGTAGATACCAACAGGTTCCCCTTAAAGTCTAACCACTTCTCCTTCACAATAAATTGCCCTAAAATATTGAGCCCTCATGAACTCCGGTAGACGAACAAAGTGTGTGCCAAGTTGAATAAACTGAGGTTGGTTTGAAAGATGTGAATTGAACGAAGATAGAGTCGTGTCGGCGATATATTTAATTCCATATGATTATTCAATAATCATTGATTTATTTTATATTAATTCTATAAATTGGGTTGTAATAAATTGTATACAAAAAGCCGATTTAAAACATATTGAAATAATATGTAATTTAATATATTATATGTGTTAAATTACATACAAATTTATTTATCATAATAAAGACAAACTCACATGAGTTTATTTCAATTTTTCATTAAAATAACTAAGTTTTATTATTTATTGTTACTTTACCAAATTTAGTATTTTTTTTTGTCATTTCCTAATCCAGGTGTTAGTTCGCTGTATATTTATATATATGAATAATACCGGCTTACCTTTGAAAAAAATTTGAAATTGGTGAATGAGTGACGCCATTTTTCGTTATAAATGTGTTACTATTTATGACTATAAATTAGTAATTGGTGAAAAGTTTCATGATTTTTAATTTCATTTTGAACTGATTTCGTTTATTTTTACGTTGGAGCCAAAGCTTTCTTACTCTGGGGTCGATTAGGACATTAGGAGGTTAAAAATAAAAAAAAATTAATATTAATTTTATTAACTATTAAAAACTAGTCACATTTTTATTTCAAAAAGTTGAAGACGGTTTTCTTAAATTTAATTTAAATTTAAATTTCATTTAAATTTGAAATTAAGTATTTAAATTTGAAAAAATTAGTTTTATTTTGTTAGTAAATTAAAGATAATTAGTAAATCATAATAAATTAATTATTTAATCAACTATAAATAAAACGTTCTCAATCTAAATTCTTTAAAATGAATCTGACCGACTGTTGTTAAATATTTTTGTATTACCAACACCAGTACTAATTGGGTAGATAAATTAAGTTAGTGAAAAAAAATAAAAGTAATTAATAATCATAATAATTGAACTAGATTAGTATTTTAGTAGTCATTTGATCTTGTGACAACGATAACAATAATAAAGGGATATACATATACAATAAATCAAAGGTTGCTTACCCCTAATTTAAAATATTATTTTTTATATCAATTTATATTTTATACAATGATTTATTTTTAATTTATTTTAGATAAAATAACGATTAATTTTCTATTTTACTTTTAATTTTAGATTTCCAATTTTAACTTCTTACTCTGGTTTTATTTTTAAATAATACCAACTAATAGAGCACCAAGCCGAGAAGGTTGTTCCAAATCGCAACCACCCGCATTCGCTCGGGTCTCTACCAACTAACTACCTAACTTATTAACTGTGTGTCATTAGTTAGATGAATTGCTTGACATCTTAGCAAAATTGGAGATGCCTGACAGATATCCAAATAGGAACACCTATATTTAATCTCACTTGCCTCTCAAGTCTTAGACCATGTATATTACAATGGTAGTATTAATTTTTTAAAAAGTGTGACACATACAGATACTAACAAACTGACAGACAGACAAACAAACAGACAGACAAACGAACACAATAGAATACTTTTGCATGGATAGCTCCATTAAAATTTAAGATATTTATTTCGCTATATATATATATATATATATATATATATATATATATATATATATATAACCGGGTCTCTCGATGCAAAACCGTAGATTGATTGATATATATTCAATGTATTTTCATAGTCATTTTTTATTTACATGTTGTATTTTTTCAGTTTATTAAAATGTACTAATGAGAAGATTTATAACCTATGAGCTATTGGGATTGAAATTTGTAATTTGTTGAGACATGCTAAGTGTTGAAGCTATCTGTTGAAATATAAAGGATGTTACTACAACTACTGCTGCTATTGTTACTACTGCTGCTGCTGCTACTACTACTGCTGCTACTACTACTACTGCTTTTGTTGTTATTACTATTACTACAACTACTCTACTAATGATAATAAAAAGAATACTAATACGAGCAAATAATGAACACTTGTGCTAGTGCTATTTAAAATGAAAATAATAGATTTAAAATAAAATCCAGATCAATTCAATGTAATCCAATACTTTTGCTGAAGCCATGGTACTCATTAAACATTAACTGCATAAGAACATGCACACACATACAAACATACATACAAACAAACACACACACATACATGCAAACAAACAAACACACACATACATACAAACACACGTGCATACAAACAAGCAAACACACATTCACATACTCACACATGTATGTTAAAGCACATTCACACAATTAGCTGAATGATTAATTTTCCAGCTGCTCCAGAAATGTTCAGTCTTGCTCTCTCTCTCTCTCTCTCTCTCTCTCTCTCTCTCTCTCTTTCTTTCTTTCTCTTTTTCTCTCTCTCTCTCTCTTTCTTTCTCTTTCTTTTACTCTCTCTTTTATACATAGGAGCATACATATATACAAACATATGCACTTTACATTAACACATTCATTCATACCTACATACTTACACACATACAAACATACGTACGTACATACATACATACATATACACAAACGAACGAACAAACAAACATACATACCTACATACAATACAATACAAACCTAAATAAACAAATGATTGAATCAATATCTAATCTACATTGTTCAGTGTACAATTGTAACCTGACTGACAGCAAGCATGTAATGTTAGCATTTGGTACTTTTTCCATTGCTATTGAGTGATTTTCTGATTCATGGTCATGGTCATCATCCATATCATCATCGTCGTCGTCGTCGTCATCATCACAATTACTATACATGAATCTTCATCATCACCATTATCATTCAAATTACTTTTACTATCATCATCACCGGCGGCAACATCATTATCATCATCAACATCCTGCCATCAGTATTATCAATGAAATGTCTTCATTATAATACCAGCATTAAATCTTCTTTCTCTCTCTCTTTCTTTCTCTCTCTCTCTTTTTCTCTCTCTCTTTCTTTCTCTTTCTCTCTCTCTCTCTCTCTCTCTCTCTCTCTCTCTCTCTTAATATTATGTATGTGGGGGTAGGTTTGTTTATTGGTATGTAGGTATATGTATTTTGTTATAAGTTACATTGTTCAAGTACACTCTGATGCTCTAGCATAAGGAACAATACACACAGGCCCACACACACAAACAAGCAAAGGTACTCATAAAACTTTTTTAAAAAGTGTGTTGTAATGCCAATAATGAATGTTGGTAATTTAGAATTTTTGGTTAGTCATGTCCCCCCCCCTCACCCTCCCCCCCCCCGGATGAATGCACGTTTGTATGTGTGTATATTTATATGTGTGTGTGTGTGTGTGTCTGTGTGTGTGCGTGTCTAATGGATGGTTGAATACATGAACTGATGTGATTTAATTATCCCTTATGGCATTTTTACTGCATGACTCACATTTTAAAAAATTATTTTTAAAATAAAATTTTAAAAATAACTATAATTATGTTATTATTAATAATTATGTTGTTCTTGCTATAATTATCAATGAATGAATGAATGAATAATTGAATGAATGAATGAAAGTTTATGTTCTTTTTATGGAGACTACATATAATTCTGTATGCATGCATGTATGTATGTATGCATGCATGCATGTATGTATGTATAAACTTATGTAGCTTTTATGTATGTAAGTAAGAATGCATGTATGTATGAATGTGTGTTTGTGAACCAGAATTGATTGATTGATTGATTCAGTATTACTCACAAGTATATATTCATCCAGTTCTTAAGTATATAATGTGTGATATATTCATATATAAATATATTACACACATGTATGTTTATTAATGATTGCTCTTCTGAATATCTTAACTAAAGTTGGCTCCTCCTACTTATATATATATATATATATATACATGCATTTTCATATGTGGGCATATATATATATATA